TGGAGTTCTTGATAAGAAGAGATTAAATAAACCGATTTATAATATAATTATTCGAAATTAAAATTTGTTGATAAGCAGAAAATTCAGTAATTAGCAACAGTTTTTGCTGATATTGACTTATACTTTCTCTGTTCTTCGCACTTGATTTATTACTGTATCGCAGAAGTAGAATTTATCGACACCGGATCGCGTCAGGTATTTATAGACCGGGATTATCAAAGAGATTTGAGAAATTTTCAGTAACCCAACAACATAAGAAAAAAAGAAAATACAAGTAAAAGTCCATATTTTTAAAGTAGTAAGGATAAATGTAGGACATAGAAATGTTTTTACGTGATAAGTGATTGTGTAGTGTGTGTATTTTTTGTATATGTATATGTGTCGTGTGTTAGGAACTCGTTACCCTACAGTTTCTTGTGACCCATTAATGCCATCCATCATCACATCAACAGCTTTTAATAGACCACTGCTGGACATAGGCCTCTCTTTAGAAAAGTGGTTTTTGGCCTACCATACCACGCTGGCCAGACTTGTTGGCATAGGGTTTGTTTCTAGATTTCCTTCTCTATGCAGTGCTGTTGTCTTGCGTAGTTAGTTCTCTGAGTCGTCTCTTACGACACCCACGGGATGTATAGGGGTAGTGACACTCCGTGTTCTTAATCTGTTACCACGAGGAAAATCAATGCCATAATCTTTGTTTTCTTGCTCATGCGAATTCGTTATCGCAAAATTCTTGTTGCTTGCATGTTAAATCAGTGCTCGTTTTATGTTCATTTTATTTGTTTTTATCGAGATAGTATCTTGTTAACTCGACTTAAGATTGATATTAAAAAATACATGATTAATGTAGTAATTTTTATGATATTGGAACTTGTAACGATAATATTGATACAGTCGTAAATGTTTGTTTTTCTCGTCATGTGCTGTTGTTGTTTAAATGTAGTAGGTATGTTAAAACTGGTTAGTTACTCCGAAATGACAATACTCATGTTCTATCTCGATGAGTAATATCGTAGGTAGATAAATTTTTATGAGTGTTTCATCATTGCTAATTTAGGTGTTTTTTTTTAAAACAACTCCCGCGTTAGGATTGTATCCTGTGTCGCGGGAAGCTTTACAAACATACATGAAACAGACACAAATAACACCCAGACTCAGAACAACAATTTGTGGATCACACAAAGTGTCGTCCCAAGTAGGGATCGGACCCACAACACTTTACGTGGTAGTGAGCGGCGTGGCGACCGCATAAACCACTTCGCCATCCGTGCAGTCGAGTTGCATATACTTATACATTTCGTTGTGGGAGAGCCGCTGTAGTGGAAATCCGGGGTGGAAGGGGTGTTGGTGTTTTGTAAGCCATAAAAGAAACTTACCGGAGACCTAATCTAAAACTTTATTAAAACTAGAGTACAGGTTATTTTTTAATTAAAAAACTCTTTAGTAATACTAAATGACCAGTCCATCTACCTATCACCTACATCTATTTATCTATACAATAATGTCTCTTTACAAAAAAGAATTAATAGGAGTAACTTACAAAAAAAAACCAACACACACAGAGTTGTCTTTAAAAACAACACGAATTTCGTATTTACAATAGTGGTAGTGAAGTAAGAATTTGAAAGCAATCGTCTACATTGTATTTATGCAAAACCATAATTGGATAATATTGTCATACTTTGGTTGCCATAAACAGTAGAATACAATGTTACAGTCTAGTTAGCTACAATACCACAGTAAATAATGAATGGCAACCTTTAGCAGCCGTCTATGTTCGACGTGAACACACAACACGTACCGTCTTAGTCCAAAGTTATAATTGAGTGCTTGTCTTAAATGCTTAATATTTTACATGAGCTTATGTATCCATAAATTACTTCACACGTTAAAGGCTAGGAGCGGGAGTTTTACATAAATTACTTCAGAAGTAGGTGTCGAATAAAGTCTGACATTTTGTGACAAGATGGTAATGTTAGAAGTTTCGTGATGTTTGACGTCATAGTATATGTAAATTAATATAACACATACCGTTTTGCCCGTAATAAGTAGTAAAGAGGTCGGTTGAAAGTCAATGGATACAGGAGGTGATACTTTTCATTATTTGATCGTTAATTAATTTAATTTATCATTTATTGTTTGTTAGTTAATTATAGTAGTTAGGTATATGTAGTTCATGTTGATTATAATTTTCGTATTTTTTTTATTGTGTGATGATACAAGCCGAGTTCAGAATCACAAGCCGAATTATTCCAGATACCATTTACAAAATGGAGTTTTCGGCTAAGGTCGTTGGTGAACTATAATTCGTAGAACCGAGGATTTAGGATGACCCTTTTTCCACGTTCAAGCCTTTACTAAAATCGCTACAAGCGTAAATTTCTGTTTCCTTTTTAATTATTAAAATATTAATTTTGACGGCTATTGTTATATGAGGCCAAGATATCTTAAACAAATCTTTTAGAAATATCTGTGCTGAATACAATGAAAGGTACCTATTCCATTGTGTACGGAGAACCTGGTATTAGCTAGTACGCTAGAAGTACTTGTAAGTGAATAATTTTAACAATGTAAAAAATTCGGAAGCATATATTAGTGATGTGCCGTCGGATCGTTGAAAAAGGTATTTTCGCTTGTATTTGTATGATTGAACACTGTTTAATGGTTGACATACCTACCTACCCTTTAAATATTAACTACTACTGATTTACTACTTTTTGCTCAATTAATTGTTATAATTCTGTCATTAGTTTTTTTTCATCTATAAAGGCCATTTGGGCCACTATTTGCAATCTTTTTTATTTGTAAGGTCTATGTTGTGGTCTCCTGTAAATGAGGAAGCACAAAACTTAATTTGCTGTAAAACTAGCATGTAAGATGTGGGAGATTCTGTAAAATGAATAAAATAAAACACTTAACTGCTCATTACATCAGCAACTCACACATGACATATTCAAATGCTTAATTTGGACAATATAAATCTACACTTTAATGCAACGTTTGTTCTTGGGATCTTAAAACGCATGTTGCTATTTAGGTAGGTACAAAACCTTTTTCATTCATATTTTACACGCTTTATATTAGCTTCACTTGTATGTTTGTTTGTATGTTTGTAACCGACTCCTTTGGGCGTGATTTTGACTGACTTTAAACGGTCAGAATTCGTTCAAACTTTGTAGATATATAGAGGACCGATGACAATACACTAATTTAAAAAAAAAATAGTTTTAAAAAACTAAAAAACACCCTTTCTATAGTTTTTTAAAACTATTTTTTTTTTATCCGCAGATGTGGATTCGTATACTTATATCGCCAACATCACTAGTTATTACAAAAATGTGTTAGAATTACATAGTTTACATAAAATAATAAAAAACAGCTGTTCATTAATTGGCGGATAAAATTGGATCAATTTTATCCATTCCTAGTCATTGTTAGCATGGAATTCACAGCAATCTTTGTTCTATTATATCTATTATACATCCAAGAGTCATTTGTACTGAATACTGTTTCCACAAAGAGTCAATTTGCCACTTTAAATTATAGTTTATTTTGCTCGTAGTATGTAAGTAATACAGTGAAACCTGGATAAGTGGGTTCCTGGACATGTGATAAACTTCAGTTATTGATCATTTCAATGAGGTCCCGACGTTTGCTTTGAAATACCTCTGTTATTAGGCATTTTCAAATCTTTGTAACTGACTTGACTTCTTTAGAGTTTTCGATGTTTACTGAGACAATTTATCAGATTTAGACAAATTAGGACACCACATTCGAATGCAAAGCAATATAATTGTATAAATATTTTTTTTAATTAACATTTCTACTTCTTTATATGAATAATAGCAACACTAAAAAATCCCCGACACCAAAAAAATACTTTAAAAACTATAACAGCTCATTGAGAATGATCTAATGAGCCTAAACATGGTATATATGCTCTAATTTTCTGAGGAGTTGGCAACCCGCAGACCAGGTTACCATGTCCTGGAAATACTATCAAATTAACAGTATACCAAATTTCAGATCAATTGGATTTTAGTGAGATCCCTTCATCACCTAGTAAGTGAGTGAACAAAAAAATCCGTATTAAAATTGGTCCATCCGTTCGGTAGCTGTGATGCCACAGACGGACAGACAGATACAAAGTATAAACTTATAACACCCCTCGTTTTCCTTTGGGGCTAAAAATAGTACATTTCGACCTCTCATAATGGGACCTCTATAAATAAGTCAACTGTCATGTTAACCTGCCTATTTGTGAAACTGGGTAAATGAAAAGCCTCTATAAGTGATGAAAATATATAGCTCCCTTAAGATACCACTTATCCTGGTATCGCTATATTTACAAATGTACTTAATCTATAATAATAAATGTATTTATTTAGAAACATTTGTATCAGCAGTCTGATTTCCATAGCACAGTCTCTGGTTAGTTTGGGATCAGACTGTCGTGTGTAAAATGTATCAAGTTATTAGTAACAAAATATAGTCTTTAGTTGCTTACCTTGACTATACCTATTCATCTATGCATCTTGAAATATCTTTAAATGAGTCATTGGTTAGTTCGTAAATACAAGATTTAGGAGTATGACATGGAGGATAAACGACGAGACAGGTCAGCTGGTGGTGAATACTGCCAGTAGTGCTTGCACTAGTAAAATATTTTTTAAATGGGTTTAGTGGTTTAGGCGTGAAAGCGTAACAAACAAACTCACTTTCACATTTATAAGTATGGTTACTATTAGCCTAATTGTTGGGACAGAAAATAATCCTCGGTTCTTCTCTTACACACTTAGAAAGATTCTATCGCGGATTTATGCCGTGAGGCCATTCTATAACCGAACAACAGAAACATTAAAAGAATAGTCGTAACTAGTAGACATACGAGTGTGTGAAGGAGTTGAAAGAAAAGTTATACCTAGAAACAATGTGCTCGTAGCTTTCACTCAATTCTTGTTATGTCATTCGTATATTAAACTGCATCTCCTTCTTTTCAGATTTGAACTACGGCGCACGCTAATGATATGGAATTGTTCTCTAGCCGCGTTCAGCATCATGGGTGCATGTCGAACGCTTCCTGAATTCATCCATGTTTTACGAAACTACGGTATATATCACTCGATCTGTGTGCCAAGGTGAGTCCATTACATTATGTTCACTAGTAAATACTGTTATTGTCAAATCTAATTTCAACAAATACCGAGTTGACGAAAAATAAAAAAAAATTGTTCTTATTATGAGGCATTTACAAGGCTCCGAAGCGATAGAACAGATCAAATTTTAACAGAATTTTCCACGCATGTAATTTGTTTATGCACATACCAACATATATACTACAATTTATACTGATCTTAATAAAACTTCCAATGATTTGATCTGAAAATGAATAAAATGGATTGTCGTTCCAAAATTTAATGACAAAAATCAAATAATTTTTTCCACCTCATAATATTCTATCTAATAATCTCGATCTGTGACACATAATGGCCCAACATTATTATTAAAGCATAACTAGTATATGTGTTACTACTAATACTATATTTATAAATACGTTTAAAAAATTGATTTACATATATAACTAGTGCGAATTAAATAACTTTGCATACCAGTCATATATCCACGTACATTATATTATCTGCGATGTGACACGTCTCAAAATACAATAAAATGAACCCAATCACGTCTGTATGTCCGTAGGTATTCAAGTCACTCATGTGTGTGTTATGTTATTCAATTGGTGTGCGAAGCGAAAGTTCATGCGTCGAAAAAATCTATAATAGACAATATGTTTATAACTGAACATAGACAGCATTTGGACAGCCCTACCGGCATATAGTGTACAGTATGCAGTAGGGATGGATTAAAATCATAAGCACTGGTTTTCAACCACTAAGCACTTTAAAAATCATGCATCTCACTTGTGACTTGTCAACAAAATCACTGGGATTTATGATTACCCACGTATGGTCTAAATCTAAAAAAATATTGTCGTAGTCTTTGATAAAAAGAAAATTCTATATATTTGTTTTTTTTTTGTTTAAGTTTTATTGTCATTTATCTTTGTCTATGACCAAATCACAGTAGTGATTTATCACCTGTTGGTCTAGTGGGTAGCGATTCTAACTCCTGCTAAGCCTGGATTATTGTTTAATATTCTAATGTACGGCAGTCGCAGAATTATGTATGCAAAATACAGTAGATTAAATAATTCATTTCTATTTTATGTAATACTAGTTTTGCCGGTGGCTCCGCTCGCGTGTATGTTGGGTATCGCAATAAAAAGAAGTCTATGTCCTTCCTTAACGATCAAAGCATCTCCATGCCAAATTTCATAAAAATCGGCTCAGCGGTTTAGCCGTGAATAATAACCGTAACATAATATTCGTATATTATAACATTCATGGACTAACATGGGATAACATTCGGGGACAAAAAAAAACACATTTATTATTTGTCAAGTAAAATAACATTCGCCAAGTAGGTAGTATCTAAACGAGGATTAAGTCTGGCCGACATTTTAATGCCAAGAGTTCTATACCAGACAATAGGTTTAGCCAGACTACTACATTTTACCAAAAGCCTATAATGATGTCTCGTTAAACAATTCTCTTGAGTTCGGTTATATTTCCAACTCCTCCAAGACAGCTCAACTTTTCCTGGAACTCACAGCATTGGGCGTGTACCTGTAGGTATACCAGGATCGACATATATACGTTTCACTATGCCAAACGTCAAGCCAGTGAAAACTACTGTGATAATTAAGGATGTCGGGCTGGACCTTGTGGACACTACGACATTTTTAGGTATAACACTAGATGCTAAGCTACAGTGGGGCCCACATATTGATAAATTGTCGAGTAGACTCAGCTCAGCAGCATACGCAGTAAGGAAAATCCGAGAGTTGACTGATGTTGATACAACACGACTTGTTTACTTCAGTTACTTTCATAGCATAATGTCGTACGGTATTCTGCTGTGGGGGAATGCTGCCGACATTCAAACTATTTTTGTGCTGCAAAAGAGAGCTATTCGAGCACTTTATAATTTAGGCAATCGTTGTTCATTGAGGCAGAAATTTTAAGAAATAAATATAATGACAGTGGCAAGTCAAGCGCAGGCTATTTCTTTCTTAAGTAAAAATGTGGTGTGGCTAGTATGTTTTTTATTATTATAATTTTTTCAATTTTTTATGTTTCACTTCATTTTCTCTTGTATTCGTTTTTTCTTCTTAATCTTGTTTTCTCTTCATTGTCTTTTCACCTTTTAGTCCTTAATAACGGACATACTAGCACACGTCAAAACAATGTTGTGATATATTTAATAGTGCCATTGTATCTACCTGTGAATTGCAAAAGAGTGGCCATGAGTTTGTTTGCCCTTTCTTCTCATAAGGCTCAACCCCTTGGAAACGGGCGGTTGTAGATCGGCATAGGCATATCATAGATTTTGTATGGGTTTGATTTTTGTTAAATTTATTTGGTTACTATTTGACAAAACAGAGATTGTTGCTTTTGTGTGTGTTGATCTATGACTTTAGAGTCTACATGGAAGACGATTTCAAACAATTTTGGAAATTTTATGAAATAAAGAAAGTTTGAGTTTGAGTTTGACAGAAGTGACCCACGAACACACTGAATGACACTGCGTAGTAAAAGACACTATACTAAATTGCACTAAAAACTCCAATACACCACTCAAGTCGTTATTCCTACTTCAAATCGATATCTTGAATTCTTGATTCACATTTCAGTACTAATAAATTGACTCGTTCTGATAACATTGGAAATTGCACTTTAATGTTATTCAAACAGTGTTCATTACTAAGTTCACGCTACAGAAATCGATGCTAATGAAATTTCAATTGATTAAAATGTTATTCATGATAGAACTTGGATCTAGCTCATTGAGTATTTGCTAGTGTTTTTATTTATGATTTGTGGCGTCTTTTCATATGGCGACAATATTTTATACTTTTTTTTACTTAATACTTTTATACTTTTTTTTTATAAATACATACATATAAACTTAGAAAACACCCAAACTCCGAAACAAATATTTTTAATACAACCAAACATTTTTTCCGATCCGCAAATCGAACCCGAGACCTCACCACCATCTTTAATTTGTGAACTTTCCGTACATAAGTAGTTGATTTAAAATTTTAATCCTTAAGGCTAGTGTTTATTTTCCACTGTAGAACATTTCATTGCCAATATCAATAAAACCACTTCCAATTATCGTATCAAGTTATACCGGCCTATGTATCTTTCGTTTTGCGATGTATTATGTGGCTGTTACGCATGAATACCAAATCTATTTATAGTGTAGATAAACGGGGCTTGGCATCCTTCCAACGCAATGGGAGAGTCCTACGACCGGACTAGGTGAACATCCTTACCGGGCTGCACCCCAACACTTGCTCTTGACGTGTTAGAATGAAGGTGATACAGTAAACATAAGAACTCTAAATAGAAATAATGTATTTTCTTTGAAAAAACCATTGAAACGCGAAATATGGTCTTAATTATTGATTAGGTAACATATATTTAATATGTAATGTAAAAGAAATCTTTAAATATCAGATTAAATTTTTCATAATCATCTCACTCACTACACATCTTTTATTTGTGTTAAAGAGAAGTAAAACCCATTCATCTACAGATGGTAATAGGAACCGAACAATTCAGAGCGGTTTCGCACTACGTCCGATCAGAATCTGATCCGAATCCGTGAAAATACGGTCCGAAGTAGACGTATAACTATTTCTATGGTAGCTTACGCACTAGATCCGACTTCCGATTCATCCGTCATCCGATTTCTTACCGTTATTACAAGATTATTGACGAATCAAAGTAGCCATAATATTGTTTGCATGAACGCACCCAGAATTCTCTACTTCTTCAGTGTGGTTCGTACGTACTATAGCATTGCCAGAACTTGACGCCGATCGAAAGGACTCCAGATTAACAACGTGAACGCTCCGTGTAAAATGACGTATGCCAAAAGGTGACCTCCTAAATTGCTTGGTTTAAAATCAGATATCGCAATAATGCGTAAACAACATACGAATTCGGTCAATCAGTCAGCCTTCCAAATCCGTAATCACGGATCAGAAATCGAAGGTAGTGCGAAATACAATATCCCAATTCAGTCCGAGATTTCTAGAGCCGTATTTGCCCAACACAACACAAGCTGTGGTTATAGAACTCTGACCTTCAGTTACAGCAGTTCTAATAATCTTGCTGAATATGCCAAGGTCAAGTGGGACTAATAATAAGGACAATGGGAGGTCGTGAGTTCGTATCCTGCAAGTAAATACAAATAAGTTAATATTAGAATAGTCTGATTAGCTTACAAAATTTGTATTTACCAATATTATTGACTGAAGCTGTTTGCAATAAATTCAATAGGTTCATTCAATTAAAAAGCTATGGTCAAATGTGAAGGACTTTGTAGAACCAAAATGAATAATGTCTTTACTTATTGCCTTTTAGGAAATCTGATTGAATGTGTTTGGTCTTTCTATAGGTCTCTTTCTTTAGTACTGAATACTCACACTATTTAGAATCTTTATGTAAAACTAGCACTATTTATTTAAAACTATTTGGCTGCTCTGTTGATAACTGCATACACGGTTCGATTCCTGCTCAAGTCAAACATTTGTGTGCATGAACATGTAATGTTTGGTTTGGTCTGGGTGTTTCTATGTATAATATGTATGTGTTTACAAAAGAAAAATAAATAAATGTATTTTTATCAGTTGTCTAGTACCCATAGTACCCAAACTAAGCAGAGCTTAGCTTAGCTTAGGAGAGCCATGCTTCGACACGAATGAGTCGGCTCGATTAGAGTGATACCACGGCCTCACAGAAAACCGATGTTAAGCAATTCTTTGGTTGCCTTTCACTGAGTGAGTGAGGTTACCGGAGCCCAATTCCCCCCTCACGCTGACTCGAACGAGAGGGACTCCTAGGGCGGCAACGCACTAGTGACTTTTGAGTTGCAGGTGTCCATTTGCCTCGGTAGTTGCTTACCATCAGGTGACCCGTCTGCTCGTTTGCCCCCTTATACCATAAAAAAACTTCTGCTTAATATATTTCCGTACTAAAAAATTTAGTTATTATTAGTTTTTTCC